TTTCTAGGCCCTTGATGGCCCACCGCGCTGGACGGCCAGGGTAATTGGGACTATCACCGTCACAGCTGCCAACAGGGCTCATGGCTGTGACCACTACAAGGGCGTCTCCTTGGAAGCCTCTGGAAGCACCGGGTGAAACAGGAGCTTTTATCAGGACTGGAGCGTGTCCCCAGGGCCACCGCTGCTGCCAAGGCCAACCTGGCCACAAAGGACGTCACAGGCTTCAGATCCGCCCTGAAAACAGCAGAGGGTCAGGTCGGCCCCGCGGTCACATCACCTCCTCTAGAGCCCGGGACTTGAGAGGTTCCGTGCAGCTCAGCAGCCCGACAGGGTGGGGACACACCTCGTCCTTCACCCCACATGTCCCCAACAGGGTGGGGACACACCTCGTCCTTCACCCCACATGTCCCCAACAGGGTGGGGACACACCTCGTCCTTCACCCCACATGTCCCCAACAGGGTGGGGACACACCTCGTCCTTCACCCCACATGTCCCCAACAGGGTGGGGACGCACCTCGTCCTTCACCCCACCCGTGTTTCGGGAGGGCTGCGCTGCACAGCGCGGAGCAGTCACTGGGGCAGCTGCAAAGAGCTAACCAAGTAGCTGAAGACCCCGGCTGGGAGCTTCCCGTCCACAGAAGGGACGACAAGCAAGTGATGGCCCAGGGGGCAAGGGCCGCAGATGCCGTGGGGCTGCCCGCCCTCCTGTCCTCGCCTGTGGCCTGCAACGCCTCCTCACTGCCCCGCAGCCTGTGAGCTGGGAGTGACCTCCTGCAAGCAGCCCTGAACCCCACCCTCCAGCGCATCCCTGGGGGCCTGTCCCTCACCTCCCAGAGGCCCACCGCAGCCCATGGCGATCGCCTGGGTCATCCCACCAGGACGGCAGTCTTTCCTTCCTGGTCCCCTTCTCTGTCCTCCTGCCAGAGCCTTCCAGGGTCTACGGACTCAGTCTAACATCAGCTCCCACCAGGCTGAGGGTCGGCTTCTGGAAGAATCCAACCCAAGGCCCGGGTGAAACTTACAGCACAGCGACAGTGGGAAGGGCTCAGGGAAGGACGCAGCCGGGGCTGGGCAGGGGTGGGCGGCCGTGACTGTTCAGGGACGGTCAGCACGGCCCACCGAGAGGCAGGCACTGGAGTGAGTGCCCAGGTGACCAGCAGTGGCCCCTGGACTCTGGGAAAAGAGTAGCCAGAGAAGGTTCAGACTGGAGGTGGGAAGCAACTGGCCTGTCCTGGGAAGCGCAGGTGACCACACGGTCAGAGCAGAGGGGAGAACTGCAGAGACCCACAGCTCGAGGTGGGAGACGTCTGGGGTGGGGTAGCTGCTGGGGCGTCACCTACCAGGTAGCTCTGACCCCACAGAGAACGGGCTGCAGGGGAAGGCAGAGCAGGGAGCCCCGAGGGCCAGGCGCACGTGGGGTCAGCGGGGCGCAGATGGCAGGAAGAGGAGGGGCTGGAGTCCCAATGCCCCTTTCAAGGGCACCCCGCCACCAGCTGGCTTCCTCCCACGTCCTCCCAATAGCAGCACAGACTGGGGACAAGCCTTCAACAGCCCAGCCCTCAGGGGACATCCAGGATCCAAACTATAGCAGTGTGTGTGTGTGTGTGTGTGTGTGTGTGGTGTGTGTGGGTGTGTGTGCGTGATGTGAGTGTGTGTGTGGTGTGTGTGTGGTGTGTGTGTGGTGTGTGTGTGGGTGTGTGTGTGGTGTGTGTGTGTGCGTGATGTGTGTGTGTGTGTGGTGTGTGTGTGTGGTGTGTGTGGTGTGTGTGGGGGTGTGGTATGGTGTGTGTGTGTTGTGTGTGTGTCATGTGTGCGTGTCTTGTGTGTGTAGTGTGTGTGTGTGATGTGAGTGTGTGTGTGGTATGGTATGTGTGGTGTGTGTGGTGTGTGTGTGTGGAGTGTGTGTGTCGTGTGTGTGGTGTGTGTGTGTGTGTGATGTATGTGTGTCATGTGTGTGTCATGTGTGTGTGTGGTGTGTGTGTGCATGATGTGAGTGTGTGTGTGGTGTGTGTGTGGTGTGTGTGTGGTGTGTGTGGGGGTGTGTGTGTGGTGTGTGTGTGTGCGTGATGTGTGTGTGTGTGGTGTGTGTGGTGTGTGTGGGGGTGTGGTATGGTGTGTGTGTGTGTTTGGTGTGTGTGTGTGCATGGTGTGTGTGTGATGTGAGTGTGTGTGTGTGTGTGTGTGGTGTGTGTGGTGTGTGTGGGGGTGTGGTATGGTGTGTGTGTGTGTGTTTGGTGTGTGTGTGATGTGAGTGTGTGTGTGGTATGGTGTGTGTGTGTTGTGTGTGTGTCTTGTGTGTGTAGTGTGTGTGTGATGTGAGTGTGTGTGTGGTATGGTATGTGTGGTGTGTGGTGTGTGTGTGTGTGGAGTGTGTGTGTCGTGTGTGTGGTGTGTGTGTGTGTGATGTATGTGTGTCAGGTGTGTGTCATGTGTGTGTGTGTGTGGTGTGTGTGTGCATGGTGTGTGTGTGATGTGTGTGCGTGGTATGGTATGTGTGGTGTGTGTGTGTCCTGTGTGTGTCATGTGTGTGTGTGTGGTGTGTGTGTGTGCATGGTGTGTATGTGATGTGAGTGTGTGTGTGGTATGGTATGTGTGTGTGTGTGATGTGTGTGTGTGGTATGGTGTGTGTGTGTGATGTGTGTGTGTGTGATGTGTGTGTGTGTGTGATGTGTGTGTGTGTGTGTTGGGTTTTGTGGGGTCCTGGGAATGTAGCAATGTAAGGACAGACAGGTGCGCTCTGGCTTGTTTCAATGCAGGTTCTCTCCGCAGTTGGAGAAAGAGGGTCGGTTGTAAGGGAAGAGCAGATTGTCCCCAGTAGTGCCTGAGCCCCACTTGACCCCATTCATGCAAAAGTACTCGTGTGTCCCTGCCAAAATAAAAACCTGCTGAAACCCGAGAAGCCATCTGGGCTCAGCACGTGAGGAATCCTCGTCCACCCCAGACAGCGAGCAGTCTTGACTGGGAGGGAATCTGAGCCGGTCTCAAAAGACCAATGAAATTTGACAAGAAAATGGCAGCGAGACAGAAAATGGAAAGAATTCCAGCCAAGGACAGAGTTGGGACAGGGAGGCATGTGAAGGGCCAGGTGTTTCCCCAGTCCACGGAGACGGAGGGCCTGTGTCGGAGCCGCATTCCTATGGGGCCCCCGAATTTCACAGACGCCGTCCCCCATGAGGGGTGAGACTTGGGAGAAGGACCAGATCTCACTCCTGTGGTCAGTCGTGTTATAGGGCAAAGGTAAAGGGATTTTGCAGATGGAATTAAACAATTATAATGGAAAGGAGATCAGCCTGGGAGCACATGGCGTGATGGGGAAACCCTTTAAAAGAGAGCCCAAGGTTTCCCCGGAAGCCAGAGAGATGCTCTCCCACTGCCCCTGAAGAAGCAAGCCATCACTGAAAGGGGGGATCCTACAGTTCAGACAGGAGGCACCCCACAAAGCTCTGTGTGAGACGCTGCAAGAGGCTTTGGATTGACCACTGATGCAGATTAACTGGGTGGTAACTGCAGGCAGTGGGGTGGCTGCAGGAGGGGGTCACGGACGTGCCTTTGGGGCTTCTCTTTGCCCTTGGTGAGTGCAGCCTCTCTGACGCCTTCTGGCCCTCCCCCGAGCTGCTTGCCCCTGCCACCCCTTCCACCGACCTTGTGCCTCACCTGGGGCACAGAGTCTCGCAGCCCACAGTCTATGGACTGGGACCTCTGAAATTGGGAGACAAATAAACTTTTTGGCTCCTAATTGCTCATCAGATCTTTTGGTCACAGCAGCAAAAAAGTTGACAGGCATATGGACAATTTCCAACATGACAACAAATTTTCATTTGTTGTCACACTCCACTAAAACTGGGGAGACAGGTTGTCGAGGAAAACCTTAAGAAAATGCTTCTGTTTGAAATCCCACCTCCTGGAAAAACACCTCTGAGATGGCTGTGACACCAAGAGTTCTGCAGCCAGAAGGAAACGAGACCTTCCAACAACCCTGTGAGCAAGGGAATGGACCCTCGGATGAGACCCCCAGCCCAGCCCACCTTGGCTGAGCCTTGGAGACCCGCATCTGGGCCTTGCTAGGCGGGTCCCTGACTTCTGACCTCCAGAAACCGGGAGCACATACTAGAACATTGTTCCAGGGTGCTCAGGTGATTTACCAGGTAGCCACAGAGAACTAAAGCAGCCACCTGTGACAGGCCCCATGTGGGCTCCAGAGAACCACACGGGACAGCTGCCCTGAGTTCCTGGGCTCACGCTCTGGTGGGGGAGACAGCGCACACTCAGGAAGTGAAATCAGGAACCAAGCCAGCTACGAAATGCTGTCACCAGGATGAACATGGCTTTGAAAGGTGACCAGGGTGGGGCTGCATTGGGAGGGGCCGCGGTCAGAGGAGGCCAGACTGAGGGGACAGCTTTTGCTGAGATCCCAAGGGTGATAGGGAACTGGCCCCAGCCAAGGGACGACACGTGGCCCGGGTCTTTGGACGGGCAGGGCTGGAGTCTCTTCTCACCCAACAAACCTCGGCTGCTCCCCATTGATTTCTACGGTTGTCACGCACTGAACCTGTTCTACAGTGCTTACAAATGCTTCTTCACGCTCAGGATTCTCTCACAGCCCTGGTCATCTGTGGGGCAACGGGGAGGCCCTGAGAAGTAACCCACGGCTGGAACCCAGTGCCAAGAACCAGAGTGGCCAGAGGGCCCGCACGGCAGCTGGATGTCTGTTTTGTTTCATATACTTTTAAAATACGTGGATTCCTTTTCACGGTTGTCTGCTGTTTTGGCAAGGAACGCTGATTTTCCATTAGTGCTAATGACATCAAGTTACTCTTAAAAATAGGCTTTGGGGGCGCTTAACTTGTACACAACACAAGTCAGCAATTTAAGTCAACATTTTAATAAGTTTTGACAAGCGTGGGCAGTCACGGGACCACCAGGACCGACGTGATCTAGAACAGTCCATCAGCCCCCCTCCCCCTGGGCAGTCAGTCAGTCTCTACCCCGCCCGCCTGCCCCGACAGTGGCCACGCTTTCACTTCCTTTTTGAATTTTCTAGAACTACTTGTAAATGGGATCACGCGACGGTCTGTCTTCCTGTCTTCCCACGAGGACTCCGAGGCCCTTCCATGTGGCTTTGGTCAGTGGAGCTCTTCCTGGGTGGTGGTGCTGAGCAGCGTGGTTTTCCATCCCGTGTTTACACGCTCACTGGTTTATCGCTCATCGGTCCCCACGCATTTGTGTTGTTGAAGGGGGCTGTTGGGGATAGCACCGTGAAGTGTGGGTGTGTGTTTTAATTCTCTGGACAGACACCGAGGCCTGGGATCACTAGGCCAGACAGTGGGGGTGAGTTTATTTGCAAAGTGGCAAAAACACCTCCAGCTACCTAGGAGTGTCCCCCGGGCTCCTAACCTTTGGGACCCCTGGATTTTGTTCTCACTTCTCTGGTTCCCAGAGAAGCACCACTGCCCCTCAACTGACGCTTGGATTCCAGCCCAGTGAGACCCTGAGTGGCCACAGCCACTCCATGTGGGACTTCTGACTTACAAAACTGAGATGATAGATGGACATTGACTTAAGCTGCTGAATGCAAGGCAATCTGTCACACAGCCACACAAACGTAATGCACCTCTCAGGAAGCCATCCGTGAAATACACGAGGACCTTCTCTGGGAGCCAGGGAGCGCTGGGCCTGGCATGGGGACTTTCCGGGGCTCTCCTGCAGCAATAGATCACCCGGTGCACGTGACCTTCCCCTCGCTCTGCTAGAAGGTCCCTCATGGTAGTGCCAGAGATGGGCGTACCCCGTTGGGCACTGAACAGCCCACCTTTATCCTATTTTGGTGAAGAACACTCTATGGAAGACCTTTGATGTTTCCAGATATAAATAAAGCAGATGCGGGCTCCATTTGGGCAGCAGCTCAATCCATCTGGTCATCTGGCCTGTCCCGTCCCCGCTTTGGAAACTACTTTCTGTGTTCTGGGATGGGGGGGGTGGGGGTTCACCATTTTATTTCTCTTAGCTTTTATTTCTCACCCAGCCCATTCCACCAAAGGAAAAAACCCTATGAGAGTCGGGCTAAGAGATCCCTACGTTTCAAGAAAAATTATGGAGTTTGTAGTCCTTGGAGGAACGGGAGAATTTACCATAAATTTCTATGCAAGCAAAATGCACCCAGTTGGAAACTCAGGCACCCTGCTTCCCCCCACACACACCCCCGAATGGCCTCTGCGGGCGTTTGTACTCCTGACTCTGGTTTCCCGTTTCTGGAAACTTCTAAGAGCTCCTTGTCAAGCTCCCTGCAGAGAGCAAGGAATCTCAGGGCCCCGCATGCCTGGGGCACGCTCCGCTCACTTGGAGGTGATGTCATCCCTGCAAGCGCCAGGCCTCTGTTTGGAGGTGTTTTCTTCCGTTCTTTGTGCGGGTTCTTTGTTTTCCTTCTAAGACTCGGGAGCCAGTCCAAGCCCTGTTTGCTTCCCCGAAGAGGACAAGGACGTGTTAACACCAACAGCCGCTCTGCAACCAGAGGCGCTGTCCCCTAATTGCAGGCTGCTATTGAAACACTCCAGGGCCAGACAAAGCCCCTCATTTGGGAGGAAAATTAATTGTACACCAACAAGAACACATTTCATCCTGAATTAAATTCTTTAACATTCCCTTGGCAGAGAACTCTCTGGCTGTTTCTTTTCTGTTTGGTGTCAAAGTTTCCCCCTTCCCTAGGAGAATTTTTGGCAAGTGGATCCAGGCTTACAGGTCCCCCGAGGGTTTTGCTGGTCACCTCCCTTTATTGCTCCTTCTCTTGCCCATTGAAGCTGCCATTGCTCCAGCCCACCCTGAGCCGTGACCCTCCCACCCCAGCCTGTCCCTTCCCATGCAGCCCCTCTGAGGAGTGAAATGGTCCCCAGTCCACAACACGCTGCTTCTCCCCGACGCCCCGAGGTGCAGGAAAGATTAACCATGATGAATCGCAGCCAGCAGAAGACGCTACGCGGGGAAAGAGCTTGCGCCAGCCGCGACTCCGAGATTTATTGCCAAGTGCCACGAATAACGAAATCATCCATCTTCCACGGACGGGGAAAGGGCTCCACGGAAAATTTGAAAAGGGCAACAAGGACAGTGCTGCCCCCTGTTGGGAGCTGGCTGTGACCCCTGCCCAGTAACCAGCCCCGCAGGCTGGGGACTGCACAGAGCAGGCGCCCCTGGCCAGCCACCTGTAGGAGCCAGGTTGCCCCTGACCCCAACCCACGACTCACCTGCAGAAGGAGAAGAGGGTCTCAGCTGTAACTGCCAACGCGATGACTGGATCCTGGTTCCTACAGTTTGTGATTCCCAGCTTCCAGGAACACAGCCCTTGTCTCAGTGATCCCAACGTGTCAATCACGGTCCCAACAAGAACCAGGCTGGCACTCCATCCGTAAGCCGAGGATTGTGTAGCATTAAGAAGCGGCTGGCCAAGGCGCGGGCCAATCTCAAAGCAGCAGGAGAGACAGGAAGGATGTCCCTGGCCTTCAGCACAAGGCGGGAAACAGCAAGGTCCAGGGACAGCCAGGGCCTCCCTCTGAGGTCCCCTGCTAACTCTCCCACAGGCCAAGCATGACTAGAAGCCAGAGGGCAACAGAACCGCGGCACTCCTTGGGCTTGATGGACATGACCTCACCGCAGGACTCTCCTCGCCACCAGACGACCTTCCCTGATGGCCAGTTGGACCAGCTCCTTACCTCCTGACCGCTCAACTTAAAATTGCAGATTCATCTCCCTTAGATGTCCGCTCCCCTCAGTCCGTGGCAGGTGTCACTATCCAACAAATTCTTCACTTGGCTTCTTGGTCTACATCCCCCCGTACACACCCCCGGCCATCAGCACGGCGCCCTCCAGCAGCCGCACGCGGGATCTCACCACCGGCCACGTGCTGACCACACCCTCAACGTTCAGGTGTTCAAGCCCTGACCCTCAGAATGTGGCCTCATTTGTAAACAGGGTCTTTACAGAGGCAAGCAAGTTCAGACGGGGTGACCAGGTGGACCCTCCTAGACCACGGCTGACATTCTTATAAAAGAGATGGGCGGCAGAGACGTGCCGAGAGGGGAGATGCTGGGAAGGGAGGAGAAGCCCGTCCACCAGCTGGGGACAGAGCCTGGACAGAGCCGAACGGCTCCTTCCCTCACCGCCTTGGAAGGAATCAACCCTGCCAACACGGATCTGGGCCTTCTGGGCTTCAGGTTACGAGATCACAAATTCCTATGGGTTAAGCCACCATCTGTGGCCCTCGGTTACCACAATCCCAGCAAACTAGCAGTCACCAGCGGGCAGGTTCCGCCTGGCCCCCTAGCCTTCTTGCTAAGTGAGCCAACATTCAGAATTCAAATGGTTCTGCATTTAAAAAAAAAAATCTCTTATTGAAATTCTGGACACTGGCAGTTCTGGACCTGCGTGGCCACGGGTGGGACCCAACTGGGAGGCGCCTCTCCGTGCGCCCGCCTCCCTCTGGCCCCCTACAGGATCCTTGAGAATCAGCCTCTTGACACCAGGCGAAGAAGGACCCCAGCCATGATCCTCCACAGCCACGGCTCCTGTGGGGCCTCCCCTGGCTGAAGTTCAACCAGGGTCCCCCTGTTCCCCCTTGTCCCTCTGCAGCTGGGGCTGGCCCTGGGGTGGCTGGGTGGTGCCACCCTGCTCAGTTCCCTCACCCCAGCCCCCTCCTCAGGGCGATTAACAGTCTCCTCATTCAGTCTCCTCAGTTCATGGTTTTAATGAGCTCTCGTACCCTGCCCTGAAGAGCAGGAACCTAAAACATCAAATACACAATGACATCGCCTCAGCCAGGATGTACGGCATCGCAGAGATGGCGGAGATTAAAAAAGACACCTCACCTGCCCCCTCTGTGCCTTGCGCTAAGAGGAGCTCCAGGCAGGGACAGCGCCTCCTTTGTTTCCTGCTGAATTCCTAGAGACCGCCCGCGAGCTGGGCTCCTGCCGGGCTCTCTAAATACACCAGCCTGTGGCAACTGGCCTTCAGGGATTCCCCTGCGGGGACCCTGCTGTGCCCTCCCACAGGATCGGCCAAGAGCGCCCACACCCAGTGACGAGCGATCCTGATCCTGGGGTCTCCCTCCGCCCACCCCTCTGCCAGGCCCCCTCTGAAGCCACACCCTGGAGGGGGCCTGTGGGGAGGAACTGAAGCCTCCTGCCGCCAGCCGCAGCCCGAGGGGGAGCCTGCAGCCAGACCTCAGCTTGCCCACATCCTGGGCTGCAAGCACCCCGAGAAGCTGCCTCCAAGGTTCCGACCCTCAGGACGTGGGGTGATAAATGTCTGTTGTTTTAAGCTGCTGTTTTGAGGGCGCGGAGGAGCCAGCACAGAGCCCCCACTCCTGTATCTCCAAACACTCCGGCAAGGGACCCGCTGGGCCACTGTGGAGTCCCTACCTGCAAGGACCCCCTTGTGCCCACCCCCCTCCACGCTGAGCCTCCAGGCAGGCTCCATCTTCCCTCCGGGCCCCAGCCCGGCCTTCTCGCTGGTGGACTTTCCCGTGGACAGGGTGTGCTGGAGCCGTCTCAGGAAACAAAACAGACATTTACATGAGAGTCCAGAGGTTTGGGGTGCAGCAAGAGCCATCCCATGGAGTAGGACTTGGTTTGTTTGTTTTTTTTATAGAGTTTTAAAAATTAGTATGCCATGTGAAGGGACTTAAACTCCTCTCTTGGTTTCAATTTTGAGGACTGCTAAGGGGACGTGGGTCACTCTCGTCTCCATCGGCCTCCTCATCAGGGCCTGTGTGAAGAGGTGAAAGGAAGCTTTCTCACAGTTCCTCCTGGTGAATCAGGGCTGTGTGTCCATTATTCAGACTGCACAGGCTGGGGGCTCCACTCCCTGCAGCTGCCCGTCCCACCACTGCAGGTGCAGGCCAGGAAGGTGGACGGCTGGCTGGCATGGCCGGGGACGGCAGGCCTTTCCTAGTGATCACAAGCACACATAGGACCAGGCATGCAGAGAGAGGGGACGCTCTGGGTAGAGACAGGACGGGGACAGAGGAGACACGAGGTTTGGAGCCTGTGACAGCCAGCGGAATCAGGAGAGCTGGAGCAAGGCACAGAGGGCACTTTCCCAGAATGTGAGGAGCGAGTCGTCAACTTACCAGGCCTCCCAGAGACGCTGGGATTACTTTAATGAGAGAGACCCCGACTTTGCAAAAGTCTAAATTAATTCTTTGCTCAGCCATTCACAGGGGAGGATGAGAAAGTAGTAGCTTCCAGAAATCATAATACATTTTCCTTACTGGGGCGAATTTTGCGAGAGAAAGAGGAAGGGGTGGGAAATAGAGGAACTCGGTGGTGGGAGACGAGCTTCGCTTCATGTTGGTGTGGAAGTGAGAAGTTCCCCACGACGTGAACCTTTAGAAACAGCCCTCACGGGCCCCTCCCCGCAGCTTCTGTGCAGAGCGCTCCAGGAAGCACCTCCCGGGCCACCAGGCCACCGTTGCCCTCCTGGGCCCTGAGTCCTCCCTTCCTGCTGCCGGCCAAGCTTTCCAACTCAGGCCCAGGGCCACTCCCTGCATGTGCACACCTGGCGATGACTGGTCGGAGTGCGCCCTGCGGAGCTGGGCACTTTTATTACGTGTTACACTCCAGTATTTCTTACTACCAGTGGGATTTGATGGAGGAAGAGAAAGGGGGTTCTCCAGCCCCCCGAGGTCTTGGTGCCGATCACCCCAGAACCACTCATTCCTGGCTCCTTCCCATGGAGATTGGCCCCAGCCACTGCTCCAAGTCCCCAGTGGTGGGTCACCTCGTTCCTTCTTGTCATGTCCCATCAAGGGCCTCCAAGGCCCCTGGCTGGGCTGGCCCCTCCCATCCCAGAGTCTCCCCACAACCCCCTCACCGCAGCCCGTGGGCCTGATCTGGGAAGTTTCCCAGCGACTGGCCTGGCCTGACATCTCCACCGGCACGCAAGTGGGCCCAGATCCAGCCCAGACTCCTGAGTCACAACGGGACTTTACGGAGGAGTCCAGTCTCTCCCCAGTCCCTCTAACTTCATTTCTCCCCTGTGTCACCCAGAGGCAGGCAGAACTACATCCACACTTGGAGCCTGGCATCCCGCAGGAGCGCGAGGGTGGGCTGGCAGACCTGGCTGTCCTCAAAGCTTCCACGTTCTCCTCCCCAGGCTGCCCCCCGGCTGCCCCCCACTCCTGCCCTCACCCCCACATAAACCCTCCAGCTCCTGAAATGGAAAGGTCATTTCCAAAGATGTGTCATGACACCCCAAGCCGCCCCAAGGCACTCCCCAGATGCTGGCCGAGGGCATGTTGGCTCTGGCTCCTCTCTCCACTAGTCCTGCTCCCCAGCCTAGCCTGGCTCATGTGGTCCTCCACATTCTGTTTTAATCACCTTTACCGTTGCTCAATCTGTGGAGCAATTTAAGGCACGGATTTTCCTCTGAGCACAGCCTTTAACTGCGCCCCCAGATTTGGTGTGAACTGTTCTTCCTTTCCTGGTTCACAGAAACAGAAACCCTCCTTTTAGCTTTGACTTCCGGGAGTGACAACCAGCCCATGTCCCCGAGTTCCACATCCGCAGATTCACAAGACCCCCAGATGGCAGATATGTCTTAAAAAACTATTTCCATACTGAATCCATACAGACCTCCTTCCTGGTCGCTATTCCTTAACGATGTCGTATAACCAGCGACACACGGCGTTTGCCCTGTTAGGAATTACAGTTAATCTAGAGGTGATTTAAAGTCCTAGGAAAGCTGTGGAGAGGTTAAACATTACGTCTTTTTATATAAGTGACTTAGGCATCCTCAGATTTTG